TCCATGACACCTTTAATACTCTCCAAAACCATAACAAAAATGCATCAGTTCTTCTATGGTATTCCTTCAGTATTGGAAGTCAAGGCTTGAATTTTTTCTTCAAGTGTTTCAATTTAAGAAATGCTGAGCATGTTCTTTCCTTTTTGTTTTCTGACTCCAGATTTTTGCACATTTCATTATAATATTTGACTTTGTCATCTCAAACTGCCCTTTGAAATGTTCTGTTCAGCTCTTTTACCTCCTAATTTTTTCCATTTGTTTTAGCATGTCTACACTAAATAACAAGTTTTAGTCTCACCTCACATCTATTTTGGTATTTTCTTCCTTATCTTAATGACCTTTTGCTTTCTTTCAGTATGAGGTTTTTTATGTCATCCCACAACTCTTCTGGTTTTTGGTCATTCATGTCTAATGTATCAAATCTGTTCTTAAGATGATCTCTAAATGCAGACGGGATATGTACAAGGTCATATTTTAGTTCTCGTGGGCTTGTTTTAATTTTCTTCAGCTTCAGCTTGATCTTGCATGTGAGCAATAGATGGTGTGTTCCACAGTCTGCCCCTGGCCTTGTTTACGCTGATGATACGGAGCTTTACCACCATCTCTTTCCATGTAATCAGTTTGACTTCTATGTATTCCATCTGGTGTGGTCCATGTGTACAGTTGTATTTTATGCTGTTTTAAAAAGGTATCTGCAATGAAGAAGTCGTTGGTCTTGCAAAATATATCATGTGATCACCAGCATCATTTCTATCACTAGGGACATATTTTCCAACTACTGATCCTTCCTTTTTATTTCCAACCTTTGCATTCCAGTCACCAGTAATTATCAGTACATCTCGACAGCATGTTTGATCAATTTTAGACTGAAGAATTTGGTAGAATTCTTCAATTTTATCATCTCTGACTTCAGTGCGTGATGCATAAATTTGAATAATAGTGGTATTAACTGGTCTTCCTTGTTGTTGTTGTTAAGTCGTGGAGTCGGTTCTGACTCATAGCAACCCTGCACAGGGTTTCCGAGGCTTGTAAATCTTTACAGGAACAGAGAGCCTCAACTTTCTCCCGCGGATCAGTTGGTAGTTTCGAACTGCTGACCTTGAGGTTAGGAACCAAATTCGTAACCACTACACTACCAGAGGTCTTCTTTGTAGGCATGTGGATATTATCCTATCACAGACAGCATTACTATACTTCAGGTATAACTTGAATTTTTTTTTTTTTTTTTTTATGATGATGAATGCATTGCCATTCCCCTTCAATCATTTATTTATCCTAGGCATAGTAAACTGTGTAATTGTCAGATTGAAAATGACCAATACCAGTCAATTTCACCCACTAATATCTTTATTGGGTGTTTATGTGTTCCATTTCATTTTTGACAACTTCCAACTTTTCACCCACTAATATCTTTATTGATGTTTATGTGTTCCATTTCATTTTTGACAACTTCTAACTTTTCCTAGATTTATGTTTCATCAATTCCATGTTGCAATTATTTAAAATGTTTTCAGCTGTTTTTTCTCGTTTTGAGTTGTGCCTCATTGGTAAATGAAGGTCCTGAAAGCTTTAGTCCATTTGCATCATCATGGTCAACTCCATTTGAGAAGGCAATTCTTCCCCAGTTGTATTTTAAGTGCCTTTCAACCTGAAGGGCTTGTCTTCCAGCACTATATCTGACAATATCCTGGTTCTCTTCATCATGTTTCAGTATTCAGTATTATGGTGCTGACAGTGTTCCACTACTAATCATAAAGTTTTCAGTGACTACATATTCAGAAGTAGTCCATTTCTACTTCTTCTGAGTCTGTCTTCATCTGGAAGCTCCGCTGAAGTTTGTCCACTATCGGTGATCCTGCAGTGGCATATCTTCCAGAATTATAGCAACACACAAGCCCCCACAGTACAACAAACTGACATTTGAGTGGTGGACAATAGCATTGTTGTTGTTGTCAGGTGCCATCGAGTAGGAACCGACTCATAGCAACCCCATGCACAGCAGAATGAAACAATGTCCGATCCTGGGCCAACCTCACTACCGCTGCCACACTTGACGCCATCAATGATGCCACCTGGCCAATCCATCTCGTTAGGGGTCTTCCTCTTTTTCTCTGACCCTCCACCTTACCCAGCATGACATCCTTCTCCAGCGACTGTTTCCTCCGGACAATATGTCCAAAGTAGGAGAGACGAAGCTTAGCCATCCTGGCCTCCAAGGAGCACTCTGGCTGCACTTCTTCCAAAACAGATCTATTAGTTCTTTTGGCAGTCCACGGCACTTTCAGTATTCTCTTCCAACACCACAACTCAAAGTCATCAATTCTTCTATGATCTTCCTTATTCACTGTCCAGCTTTCGCATCCATATGAGGCTATTGAAAACACCATGGCCTAGGTCAGGCACACCTTAGTCCTCAAGCTGACATCTCTGCTCTTCAATACTTTAAAAAGTTCCTGTGCAGCAGATTTGCCCGATGCAATACGTCGTCTGATCTCTTGACTGCTGCTTCCGTGAGTGTTGATAGTTGATCCAAGAAGAATGAAGTCCTTGACAACTTCAATCTTTTCTCCATTGATAAAAATGTTGTTTATTGGTCCAGTAGTGAGGATTTTTGTTTTCTTGACATTGAGATGTAATCCATATCGAAGGCTGTGTTCTTTGATCTTCATAAGTAAATGTTTCAAGTCCTCTTCACTTTCAGCAAGCAAGGTTGTATCATCTGCATATCGCAGGTTGTTAATGAGTCTTCCTCCAATCCTGATGCCACGTTTTTCTTCATAGAACCCAGCTTCTCGTATTATTTGCTCAGCATACAGCTTGATTACGTATGGTGAAAGACTACAACCCTGTCTCACACCTTTACCAATTTTAAAATTGTGTTCCCATGTTCTGTTCGAACATCTGTTTCTTGGTCTAGGTATAGATTTCTCAGAAGTACAATTAAGTGTTCTGGAATACTCATACTTCTCAATGTTGTCCATAGCTTGTCATGATCCACACAATCGAAAGCCTTTGCGTAGTCAATAAAGCACAGGTAAACATACTTCTGGTATTCTCTGCTTTCAGCCAAGATCCATCGGACATCAGCAATGATATCTCTCGTTCCCCGGCCTCTTCTGAATCCAGCTTGAACCTCTGGAAGTTCTCTGTCAATGTATGATTGTAGCCGTTTCTGTATGGACAATAGCATAGGACTTAACTATTTGGGTGGATTACAAACTCTTATTTGAATCTGCTGAAAGCCATGGATCCTTTTTGCAGTTGTGCATAGACAATAATTTTTTTTTTTTTTTGTCAAGAATTTGAGAGGTTTCCTAGACCCTTGAAGTCCTTTGGGTTCTTGGGAATCCACAGACTCCAGATTTGTAATCCCTCCACTATCCCATGTTTACATTTACAACTATCATCCTCCCAAGGGACCGGTAGTTTGGTTATCTTTACAAGTGAAGTTCTTGGCTGTTTTTCCTCTTCCCACAATGACAGAGCCAATAACACTGGAAGAAACAGGCTAAATACAAACTCTTGAATCAAAGTAAAATGGCTGCATCGCTAGGTTTTGCCAACCTAGAAAGAATCTTGGAGAAATGCTTTGGCGAGGTCTTAAAGGGGAAGATTGGATTTTGAGGACTCAAAGAATAAGTCATGATTTGGCTTAAGCTAAGTCCTGGTGTGGTGCTGTCTGATAAGCACTGCACTGCTGACCCCAAGGTTGGTGATTTCAACCCACCAGTCACTCCTCAGAAACCATATACACAGCCACTATGAGTCAGACCCAACTCAGTAGCATTTAACAACAACAAAAACAGATAGATAGATAGATAGATAGATAGATAGATAGATAGATAATAGATAGATATTTATAAATATAAGGAGCTCTGGTAGCATAGTGGTTACTAATTGGGTTGCGAACCTCAGGGTCAGCAGTTTGAAACTACCAGCTGTTCTGTGGGAGAAAGATGAGGCTTTCTGCTCCCGTAAAGATTTACAGCCTCGGAAAGCCTGTACAGGGTCGCTATGAGTCAGAACTGACTCCACGGCACATAACAACAACAACAACAACAACATTTATAAATAGAGCTGAACAGTATTTATTAGTTGATTTGTTATTCATTTCCTCTCATTGCCTAAAATATTCCAGTTCCTTCAATATATATATGTGTGTGTGTGTGTGTGTGCATACATACATAGTTTATACATTTAATTCATATATAGTGCATATATAGTTCATGGCACTTAACAACAACAAGCCATTTTTATTCTTCTTTTCTTGTGTTTGGGTCTATTTTCTGTCTGTGGAATTTACACAGTAAGACCACTGGGGAGGCCTTATGTCTAATTATTTTCTGTGCTGTGTGGAGATGCTGAAGACAATCAATAAACAATCAATAGTAATTGTAGCCTGCCTTAGAGACAGGAGTTGGAAGGTACATGGTGTTTTTCATTAATTTTCATTTTTCCTGTAATTTAAAGCCTAAATTTAAAGATTAAATAGAAAGCTTTCTGCTTATGAGACCAAGCAGCCATTGTTTGTAAAGAGGGAATGTGTAATCCCAGGTGTTTCATCTCTGTTAGTGAGTGAAATGTCTGTTTGCTTCAATTTGAATGAGGAGAGAAAGGACAAGGGTGTTTGCATGGTTAAATGACTATGAGTCCTCCCTTCTGAAAGTATTATTCCCTTGATGTCAATTACTTTTAGACAGACATCTGGATGCTTATCATAAGAGCATACAGATGTCAACTTTTTCCGTGCTGTAGCTGTAAATGTGGTGATTACTTGACTTTGATCTGACTAAACATACAATATCTAATATCTAAAGTCAGAAGATCACTGCAGGAAGGAATTTAGACTGACGTTTATTAAAGAGAGTGATTCCATGGAAAAAATCAGAACCATCCCTAAAGATAGACAGTTTGATGAAGTAAACAAAAGTTGTAATTATGTACTATCTAGCAAATAGCGTAATTTGAACATGACATTTATCTGTTCCTTGAACTTACAGAAGCTGGCTCTGAAGATATTGACATACTTCCCAATGGCCTGGCTTTCTTTAGTGTGGTGAGTATCTTCTTCCTTTCCCAGTCTCAGTAGAGGAGGTACAAGAGTGTTTGATTAGGCTTATAGAGCAGTAACTTGTTTGAAAAATTCCACCATTTTCTGAAATCTTTCCTGGTAAAAAGATAGGTCTGATAGGACCTCGGAAAAGTTCTGAGTTTGTATAAATAGAGAGCTGAAAAGTATTTACTATTTGATTGATTATTCTTTCCTCTCATTGCCTAAAATATTCCAGCACCTTCAATGCATTAAAAGTATGCTATTGAAAAAGATATATTGGCATTATTGTGGATATTATTGTTGTTGTTAAGTGTCCTGGTGTTGGTTTTCGACTGATAGCGACCCTGTATGGAGTTTCTGAGGCTGTAAATCTTCATGGAAGTGGAAAACTTTGATCTTTCTCCTATGGAGAGGCTGGTAGATTTGAACTACTGACTTTGCAGTTAGCAACCCAGTTTGTAACCCACTATACTACCAAGGCTCCTTATTGTAGATGTCCTGGTGGGTGCTTCAGGATAATACAACTGGACCAAAAGGTTGATTTGAACTGCAAGGTCGATGGTTCAAATCAACCAACTGCTCCTCAGAAACCCTATACAAAGTTGCTATGAGTCAAAACTGACTCAATGGCACTTAACAACAACTATTATACAGTTTTAGATACAACGTTCATACTTCCTCTTAGTAGATATTCAATTTTACTTATTTTTAAGCAATACACAGGTCTCCCAAGCTATCAGAAAGTAGAGAATTCCAGTCAAACCTTTGGCAAGTCAAAATGGCATAAAGCAAAGGAACAATTACCATTAATTTTTATGGAAAAATGTTTTGACTGTTCCTAGAGCCCCAAAATAACCTATGAAATCAAATTAAATAGCACATAAATATATAATGCTCAAAGATGCAGTTCAAAGGTATGATGTTGGATGCTGTGATGCTGAGTGTAGCTTCTGAGAAGGAACTTGGAAACAACACTTTTGCTGCACAGAGTTGTGCGCTACCTCTAAAGGCTCACTGCAGAACAAACTGAACACTTTTGCCTTTTTTCACAAAAGCAAAATCCAGTTTGGATTTCTTGTAATTAGTGAGCATATGGAGCACAGTAGCTCCGTACAATAAGCACTAGACTGTAAACCACAAGGTCTGAGGTTCGAGACTGCCAGCTGCTTGGCAGGAAAAAGATGAGGCTTTCTGCTCTTGCAAAGATTAAAACCTGAAAATCCTATACTGGAACCAAATAGATGGCACTTAACAACTACAGTGAAAATCGGTACTATTTTTAAATAAAAGTATTTTTATTTTCAATAAAATATTATATACATATATAGCATATACTTTTATTTAAAATACTTATTATTTAAATATTTAAAAGATAGATCTTTCATAAAATCGAAGTGGTATAAAGCAACCTTTCCAAAAGTGGGTGATACCTACACCAGTGCTCTCAAACCAAGATCTCCCACCTCAAAAACTCCATTACTATTGAGTTGATTTCAACTCCTAGTCACTCTGTGTAGGATTTCTGAGGCTGTAAGTCTTTACAGGAGCAGAAAGCCTTCACTTTATTCCGAGGAGCAACTGGTGGATTTGAACTGCTTAACTTGTGGTTAGCAGCCCAACGTGTAACGCACTTTACTACCAGGGCACCTTCAAACCACTATATGAGGTTGCTTTACTGGTTGTTTTATTTTTCCCATTTACTTTCTCTTGCTGAATAGCCTTTCATAAGTGAAGAGACATTGACTGAGTTTATTTAAATCTTTCACAGCTGCCTTCATTCTTAAAAGCTGAAAAATAATACCCTGCTTGGGCATACAATTAAAAGACTTTATAATTGATTGGCTTTGGTGATGGTGGCCATCCCTATAGTCCTGCTGATTGGAAATCCATACAAGTGGATCTATGAGAAGGTTCTAACCACCTTCTTTCCGGGAATCTTCATGGGCCCAATTCTTCTTGAGAAAGCAACTGTCCACCTCTGAAGGAAGCCTGTTGTTATTCTGTTCTCTTGCAGCATCATTATTTTCAGACTGTGCTACTCAAAAGGGATGTGAAAAGGTTGGATATACTTTAGAAAGAGAGTAGCAGCCCTAATCAGTTGTCAGACTTAAGAGAAAAGTGAGAGAATGCATCTTTGAAGAGAATGAGAGGTTAGAACACTCTTCAGTCTACTATGGTTGTTATATGGAAGACTGTGAGCAGCTGGTGGTTACCATGGAGGGAGCCAAGGAAATGCTATGAATTGTACAGAAACATGAAAATTTATACTTACTGGAAAAAAAATAGCTTTAAGAGAAAAGTTGTGTTTAATTGCCTACACAGAATGAATTAAGTGATAGCGTGGGCTCTGGGGTTCTTTAGCTACATGTGCTTTTGTCTGTGTCTGGTGGTGGTTATAGTGCTGTGGAGTCGGTTCCGACCTGTAGCGACCCTGTACAGGGTTTCCGAGACTGTAAATCTTTACGAGAGCAGAAAGCCTCATCTTTCTCCCACGGAACAGCTGGTGGTTTCAAACTGCTGACCTTGCGGTTCACAGCCCGATTTGTGACCACTATGCTACCAGAGCGCCTGTGTCTAGAGTCTAAAAAATACACTGGGACTGCAAGTCAAAATTACTCATGAATTAAGATGCAAAAGGCCTGATTAAAGTAGAAGACTGTTTTGTTTTGTTTTGTTTTGTTTGACAAAGAGTGTGTTCTCTAACTTTTGTGTAACCCAGACTTCACTATTTCAAGATTTTTCTGTCATAGAAATAAATCTGAAGTAAGAAGAATGTGATCTCCAAGCCCTCAACTCTGCATCCATTTTACATATTTATTTTCAAATAATATTTTATTGTGTTTTAGGTGAGCATTGACGCAGGAAATTGGGCTGCCATTTAAGGAGTTCTGTTCAGATTGCTGCAGTGACAACGGTTAGGTGCCTCACTGTATAGCAGCAGCCTTGGTTTTTGTTGGTTCCCTTTCCAGTGTTCTGGTTTCCCTCACTTCTTATCTTCTCATTTTGGTTTAGAGTAAATATTGATTGTTTGGCCTCATGTAGTTGGTTTTTTAGTAGAGTACCATGTTTACGAAGGAGCTCTGGTAGCGTAGTGGTTACGAATTGGGCTGCGAACCTCAGCGTCAGCAGTTTGAAACTACCAGCTGTTCCATGGGAGAAAGATGAGGCTTTCTGCTCCCGTAAAGATTTATAGCCTCGGAAACCCTGTACAGGGTCTCTATGAGTCAGCACCGACTCCACGGCACATAACAACAACAACAACCATATTTATGAGTAATAGTATTTGTTTTGTGTGTCACTCTGTTATTTTTCTAAAAGATTGCTATTTAAATAGTATATGAGGGCAGTAGTTTCAGGAAGTCTTCTGACCTTGTCTGACCTAGTAAGTCTGGACTTTTCAGGACTCTGTGGTCTGTTCTATATTTTTCTCCTCTCTGTCAGAACAGCTAGTAGTATTAGTGGGTTCTTCTGGTCTCAGCCATCTTAGCCAAGGGGCATGTTACATTGCCAATGATCTTGTAGCCATGCCAACAAAATTTTTTCCACTTTTTTTCTCTTATCCTTCCTTGGTTATGAGATTTTTTTTTGCATGTATTTAAAACTGTTTCCATTTTAATACTGTTTTTAATTTGCTCAGCACTGTCTTTAGTATTTCCCAAAATGCATTGCCCTCTAAGAAAAAAGTATTTACTCATGCCAGTTATTTGGCCTTCTTCCTAGCATTTTAGCTGATCTAACACATCCTATTCCACTGTTATGGGATTGAGGGTCACCTCAGAACTGACATCATACCGAATGAGGGATTGGATGATAATACTATAGAATATGAAAAGGGTTTATATAACAGAGAATGTTCAAATACCCATGGATTGCTATCACCACGCTGGTAAATCTTCTTACACACGTCAACAATGCTGTTATTTATAGGCTGCTGATACGTGAGTTGTTTGGGTACCCACCTCGCACAAACTTTTCGAGAAGCAGCACTGTCATATGGCAGCAGTATGACACCAAAGCAACCCCATGGATATCTAGTCAATTCCAATTTATGGTGACCATATTGTTGTTGTTAAGTGCCATCGAGTTGGTTCCAACCCATAGCACATGTAGAGGGTTTCTGGCTGGTGACTTTGAATGCCAACCTTGTGGTCTTTGCTTTATCTTGCAATGCCACACCAGGACTCCTGCCCCGTGAGGTTTCCGATGCTGTCATTCATATGAAGACAGATTTCTACGTGTTTTTCCCATGGAACTAGTGGTGGGTTGAAACTGCTAACCTTTTGGTTAATTGACTTTAACCACTGCACCACCAGGGCTTTTGGTAATAACACATTACTACTTTATTTTCTTTATTGGGCCTACCAGCTTTGAAACTATCTGTTGACAGATAGATTTTTTTTTTTTTTTAAGTTAAGAGACTTTCTGTTATGTTCACTGTTATTTATTTTATTTTATTTTTGCTCTTCTAAAGTTATGTAAGGAGTTCTGATAGCATAGTGGTTACGAGTCGGGCTGCTAATCTCACTGTCAGCAGTTTGAAAATACCAGCGGTTCTGCAAGAGAAAGATGAGGCTTTCTGCTCCTGTAAAGATTTATAGCCTCAAAAACCCTTTGTAGGGTCTCTGAGTTGGAACTGACTCCACGGCACACCACCACCACCACCACCACCAAAGTTATGCAAAAATATAATTGCCCGTATTAGTTAATTGAGCAAGGCAGTGTATATTAAACACATACACATTGTCCCTAAAAGTATTTACTTTAAGATTACAAGAATGAGTTGGCATAAAAAATATATAATTTACTAATTAACTGATTTAAAAGAAAAGAGACGTAGATCATTCCAGTGAATGCTGAAAAAGCACTAAATAAAATTCAACACTCATTTCTCATTAAAAACTTCAAGTAAACTAGAAATAAAAGAAAATTTCCTAGAAAACAACTACAAATAGCATCCTTAATGGTGAAATATTACATGTCTTCCCGTTAATAGAAAGAATAAGAAAATGCTCAGAAGACTGATAACTCCATAACCATCAGACCAAGAAAAATAAATGTGAGGTAGAAAACAAGATTAAAATTCCATGAGTTTTAGACTAGCAAATAATTCTTTTGTAAACAACCGAACAGACTAATTTCACAGACTACGAGAACAAATAGGAAAGTTGAATGAAATGGATGGATTTGAAATAAACGTTATCAAACTCAATGACTTTGCCATGCACTGGCAAAAATTAGCTAGACAATAATAACAGTGAGATCCATTCAGAAATCAACTTAATTTCTAACATCTATACATAAAAATAAATGAGCAGAACTAGTTAAGACTATCTTGAGAAAGTCAAACAGCAACAGTATGGGGACTTTTCATTCTATATATCAGAATGGAACTAAAAGCCATAATCATTTGAAGAGAGACATATTGGCACAGAACTCTTATGATAAGTCAACAAAACTAAATAGAGTCCCCAAACAGACCTATATGTAAATGGAGGTCTAGTGCAAAATAAAGGTGGATTTAGTGGAACAGGGACAGAGTATGGATTGATACCAGATCCTGTTCCAGGATCCAGGATCCAGAAAAATGAGACAAAATTCCAACTCTCATAGAACTTGGGTCTAACTGGGGAGAGACAGACAGTGAACAAATATTAGATGGTGCAAATGCTTTATTTGAAAAATCAGGGCGAGCTGCAGGTAAGGGTGGGGTCATGTTGCCACTTTAGATAAATGTCTCTTTGAAAAGTGACATTTGATCTAGGATCAAACTGGAAGTAAAGGAGGGAGCCTTGCAGAGTTGGGAGGGGAGACTCAGGCAGAAGTTGTTGTTGATGTTAAGTTCTGACTCATAGCGACCCTGTATAGGGTTTCCAAGAAGCATCGGGTGAGCTTGAACCACCGACCTTGCGGTTCAAACCAACCTTGCAGCCCAGTGCATTAATCTGCAGCACCACTTACTGTGTCCAAAGGACAACAGCAGTTTCCTCACTAGTCTTTCTGTTTCTGCCTTTAAGCACCTAAGCTTACAGTATTTGTTATCATTAAGTGCCGTAGAGTTGGTTCTGACTCATAGTGGCCCTGTATAAGGTTTCTGAGGAGCAGCTGGTGGGTTTGAATCACCAGCCTTGTGGTTAGCAGTCCAGTGCTTATCCTGCAGTGCCACACAAAGATTCCTTATAATATTTGTTGTTGTTGTTGCTAAGTGCCATTGAGTTGGTTCCAAGCCATAGCGGCCTTGTATACGGTTTCCGAGAAGTGGCTGATGAGTTTGAACCGCCGACCTTACAATCAAGCTTATCCTACAACACCACATCAGTACTCCTTATCGCATTTATATATGTATAAAATACACACACATATGCACATGCATGAATCAAAAATTGTCTGCACTCCAGTTATATTAAAACCGTCGTCCACCCCTGATGATAACATTGAGCATGCATGTGAAATGATTCTGTCAAATACATGAGTGACAGTGGATTATGTGGCAAATCATTTGCAAATCAGCCATGGCTCTGCCTCTGAAATAATCCATGACAGACTTTGGTTTCAAAAAGTTTTTGCAAGATGGGTACAAAAACAACTCACAAAGAACATAAACAGAAGTGTTTGGATATTTGCAAACAAAATTTTGACTGATACTCGAATTAAGATAAAAGTTTATTTTAAAAAATTGTTTCTGGTGACGAGACATGGATTCATCACATTGCACCTGAGAGTAAATGGCAAAGTATGGAATGGAAACATTCTCAATTGCTGACCAAGAAAAAGTTCAAAAGTCAACCATCAGCTAGAAAATCGATGCTTATAGTTTTCTGTAATTCTCAAGGGCCTGTATTGGGGCACTATCAGGAAAAAGTTCAACAATCAACAGTGCTCCTTACAGTGAGGTGCTCACTGAAGAGATGAATCCTAAGCTTCAGATTAAAGCAGAAGACTGCTATCCAAAGACATTGTTGCATGACAACAAACTTCTGCCCACACTCTTGACAGTCTGCAAAAACTGCAGCCTTCCTATAGTCCTGATCTTGCTCCATCAGACTTTCACTGTTTGGTCCCCTAAAAGCAGCCCTTCAAGGACAAAGATTCACCTCTGATGAAGAAGTGAAGATCTCAGTGCATTCGGAGCTCGCAGCTCAGAGTAAAACATTTTGTAATAAGGGAATAGAAAAGCCTGTTGACATATGGGCAAAGTGTATTGAAAAGCAAGGAGATTATATTTAAAATGATGTATTTATCTTTTCTAAAACTTAATTAAAATTAATTCTACAGCCAGAGTGTGGATAATATTTAATTCATTCTCATATATGTCATATAATGATAAGGACAGAGGATGGGGGCAGAGGGTGTTTGGGTTGGAGCTGGATTCACTCATAGATGAATTTTGTACATGAGCCTGAAGAAACTGAGGAAGTGGGCCCTAGATCTCTGGAGGAAATGGGACAAAAAGGGAACTGTGTGTACAAGTGAGAATGTATTGGGTTGTTTTGAAGAATGTTGAAGCTACAATGGCCAAAGTAACTGGAATAAGGACGAGAATGGTAGAGGCAAGAATAGGAAGTGTTTGGGGTAGGAAGAGTAGTGGAGGGTGAGAAGAGCAGATCATATAGGGCCTTGAGGTAATTGTTAAGAATTTTCTCTCCATCTTTGTGAGTTAGGAAGCCATTAGAGAATTTTGCGTAGAGATGTGATCGAATCTGACGTAATCTTGGTGCTGATTGAAGACTAGACTACAAAGGGTTAAGGACAGAAATAGAAAGGCCAGTGAAGAGGTGAATAATGCAATTTAAGTGATGGTAGTTTGGATTAGTGTAGTATTATTGTTAAGGAGCTCTGGTAGGTAGCGTAGTGGTTACGAATCGGTCTGTGAACCTTAAGGTCAGCAGTTCGAAACAACCAGCCATTCCGCGGGAGAAAGATGAGGCTTTCTACTCCCGTAAAGATGTACACCCTCGGAAACCCTGTACAGGGTCGCTATGGGTCAGAACCGACTCAACAGCACTTAACAACAACAACAGTTTAGATTAGGGCAGTCATGGTGGAAGTAATCAGAAACCTTCACATCCTTATGAATGGTGTATTTTCAAGTGTAGCCAACAGGAGTTTCTGCTAGACAGGCTATGGGCTGTGAGACAAGGAGAGTTGCCCAGACTTACTCCACTGACCAACATTTCTGGCATTTGGGGAGCAAATTGCAGGTCAAGGGCTTAAAGAATGCAAGAGTCAGTATGTAAGCTTTCACTTTCTCACACAGTTAGCTCTAAGCTTTCCATGCCTACTGACCTGTTTTACTTTCTAAAGAAAATGCCATCTTCTGTCCCAACTCAGCAAAGTTGGTTACTGTTCACCTTGCAATTTTCCAGCTTCCAATTATTTATTTCGATTGCCTCCTCTCTGTTTTTTGTTTGGAGCTTTCTGCCACTATCTTTAACTCAAGTCCCTATTTCTCATTTATATACATTAGTTCATTAAAATATTTTAGCCATTTATATCTAACTTTTTTCCTCTGTTTTGGAAAAAGGGTCTGAAACATCCAGGACTCCATAGCTTTGCGCCAGATAGGCCTGGAGGAATACTAATGATGGATCTAAACGAGAAGAAACCCCGGGCACTGGAATTAAGAATTAGCCGTGGATTTAATTTGGCTTTATTTAATCCACATGGCATCAGCACTTTTATAGATGACGGTAAGAGCTAGAATATATAACTATAAACATGAGGAAATTTATAATCTACAAATGGCTGTGGTAAATATTTAGATCATATTGATTGGAATAAAAGAACAATTATTTCATGAATTATTCCTTTTTTTTTTCTTCTCACAAACAAGTTGATTGCCTCTTCAGCTAGCATTAAGTTGGCTGCATTTTAAAATTTCTAACAGTATCTGAAGGATGATTTTGATTTCATAACCTTTCCATACGTCTATGATCAAAGCAGTAAAAAGGGCTGTATTTCTGAATTAAACTATAAATAGATTATTCATGAATTCTGTCGATGGCGTTGGAAGCACTCTTTCTTAAAGGTCAGGGGACCACTGATCAGAAATAATACCAGATAGACAGTGATAGGAAAGACGGGGCGAAGAATGATTCGTTAGTTTGTGTAACAGAGTATACATTCAACCTTTCCTTGCCTGTGGTATTTAAATGTCAGTGTCTGCCCAAAGGTCCTATGGTTATGTCTTGTAAATTAACTCCGTTCTTTCCATTTTTTAGATGGCACAGTTTATCTCTTTGTTGTAAACCACCCGGAATTCAAGAGTACAGTGGAAATTTTTAAATATGAAGAAGAAGAAAATTCTCTTTTGCATATAAAAACGATTAAACATGAGCTTCTTCCAAGGTACTTAGTCCTTTTGTTCATTCTCCAATTTATGTCTAGTATTTTCAGTATCCTCCATTGGTGGTCTGCTCAACTTTTATAAGAGCCCCCCAATTTTTTTTTTCCTTTTAGAGTAGGCAGAACATGAAAGTTGATTTTAGCCATTCTAATAATCAGTGTTCTATATGGATTTCACTGAGAAATGATGAATCTAGGCTACAGAGGAGGTGCCCTTTGGATCCACCTTGAGCTGGAAGACAAAGTTTACCATTCATGTCTGCTAGCTCTGTTACCCTGTCACTCAAATAATAATAATACCTGTCCAGCTGAAGAAAGGTAGTCTCCTTTATATAGGGTTTCTATGGGACTTTAGCTTTCATAGGGTTAGTGGGGCAATGGCTAATGGCCCTACATAAATAGAGGGCATGGAGTTGGAAGTGGGATATCATACTTCAAGAACAGAAAGATATTGATAATATAGATGAAAGACAATCATATATCTCCTGGGCTCAGCTTGCGTTAGCTTATTGCTCCTTTTATTTTAAACTTGATTAATATTTTTAATTTATTCTTCCCTATCTAGGGCTTAAGTATGTAAATTTTGATCATTCTTCCATAAATGCATTTCATAATAAATAGGAGCATAAATACCACTCAGGCTTCATGGTGTCCTTTCAGAAAGAGGCAACCCATCTTCCCAGTAGCTCTGTTATTTTTCATTTAACAAAGGATAAAGCAGCTCTCCCAGAAATTTCTGCATAGGGTAATTGCAATTTAAATTTAATAACACCCTAGCGTAACTGCTTTTAAAGATGTAATTGTTTTTAGTATAGAAATGTCTCACCTGAAGCATTGTACTCTGGCAATTTCATCATCCATCTCTCTGCAAGTGTTTATTGAGTGCCTATTCATTCTCAGCAGGTCAGCTTAGTGAGTCAGGTAGAAATTGAACAGTCAAGCTTAGTTTGACTAATAACTAAGCAATGGAACGCAGGAAAATCCAGCAACTGAGTAAATGGAAGCTAGGCAATGATGTTGACTGCCTGACCAACTCACAAGTCAACCAGGCTCTGTCCTTCTTTATACCACGGACAGCTCTGATCTTACATATTTTTCTTGAACCCTACATTTCTTGCCATCAAAAAAATACCCTGGTAGTACCAAGTCCTTTTTACTTTCTTGAGAATCCTGTTAAATGACCAGTGGTCAACTTACCTAGTATACTATAAAATTGTTCTCTGGCAAACCATATGAGGGACTTCAAAAAGTTCATGGATAAATTCCATTATCTTGTAATTCCATTTCTCCACGAAATGTTTGAAGTCCCTTGTATTAATAGTATGCTGTGAGTTGGAATCAATTCCATGGCACTTAACAACAACAAAATCATATTGCATATGAGCCCTGGTGTGGTGCCGTAGGATAAGCACTGAATTGCTAACCGCAAGGTTGGTGGTTCAGACCCACCAACCTCTTCTCACAAACTCTATACAGGGTTATAATGACTCAGAACCAACTCAACGGCACCTAATAACAACAGCACATAGTCATATGCACTATTGTTGTTGTGAGTCAATGGCACTTAACAATAACAATAATAGTGCATATGTCTGTGTTGTTGTTAAGTGTTCACAAGTTGATTCCTACTCATAGTGAACCCTGTATAGGGTTTCCAAGGAGCAGCTGGTGGGTTTGAACCACTGACTTGTAGTTAGAAGTCCAATGCTTACCCTGCAGCACCAAAGTAGGATTCCATATATGTCTATAGCCTTAGGATTTAAGCTGATCTTTCACAAATTTAAAGCAAATACTGTGTAATCCTTATGGATATACTTAATCTTTCATAAGAGACCAACAAGACTTTTTTTTTTTTTTTTTCACGTATGTCATTTCTCTCTTTTTTTTTAGTGTGAATGATGTCGTAGCTATTGGACCTGCACATTTCTATGCCACCAATGACCACTATTTCTCTGACACCTTCTTAAAGTACTTGGAAACATACTTCAACTTACACTGGGCAAATGTTGTTTACTACAGTCCTAATGAAGTTAAAGTAGTAGCAGAAGGATTTGATTCAGCAAATGGAATCAGTATTTCACCTAATAAGAAGTATGACCATTTATACAAATATCTTCATTTTTCCTCAATCCATGGTGGTGGGCCAAATTCTTTTCTATTTTTTCCTCCTTTTTTCTAGTATGGAAATACCTTCCTTGCCACTTTTCTTATAAAAATAATATTTGCTTATTTTAAAAGAAATGTGAAGATTGAAATCATATAAGAATGTAAATCAGCAGCATGAGTATACACACCAGTTAAATTTTGACATATATCGTTGTAGAATTTAATGTTAACAATGTAATGGTGTAATATTTACATCATAGTTCCTAATTTAAAAAATATATATGTATCATTTCCATTGACTGCATATTAGTCTCCTATGAGGATAATCCTTGATTTAACTAATTTCTTTTTAATGGATATGCAGTGGGGGTTTTTTCTAAACTACTGTATGTTGTTGTTGTTATTGTTGTTAAGTGCCGTCGAGTCCGTTCTGACCCATAGCAACCCTGAACAGGGTTTCCGATGCTGTAAATCTTTACGGGAACAGAAAGTCTCATCGTTTTCCAGCGGAACAGCTGGTAGTTTCAAACTGCTGACCTTGCAGTTCACAGCCCGATTTGTAACCACTGCGCTACCAGAGTTTTTACTTAGTGCTAACACCAGACGTGAGTTCAAATCCCAACTATGACACTAGCTAAATGAGCCATTAGGAGCCCTAATTTGCACTTGTATGTCTTTCTGTAGAACAAACTCCATGAAATAAAACAAATTGTTCAAACAGTATGAATTCTTTAGATATTAATTTTAATAGATACTGCCAAATTTTCCTCCAAAATTATCTCACTACTTTTCTAGGCCCAAAGGTAGCTTTTAAGAAAGGATATTAAATTTACTAGCTTTCTCTTGTACTACCTTAGTGCTTAGAACAATTTACACTACAAAAAAAATAAAATATAAAGTTGGCAGTCCTGACAACTAAGTGTTCCTATGTAGAATCATTTAAACAGTCTTAACTGGTCTCTGGAAGTGTAGTGGTTACGAATCGGGCTGTGAACCGCAAGGTCAGCAGTTCGGAACTACCAGCAGTTCCGCGGGAGAAAGATTAGGCGTTCTGCTCCCGTAAAGATTTACAGCCTCGGAAACCCTGTGCAGGGTCGCTATGGGTCGGACCCGACTCCACGGCACTTAACAACAACAACGACAACTGGTCTAACCTATCCAGCCAATCTTCTTGTTCTCTTCGTTTCTCACATTGGACTATGGGAGTCAAATTTCTTCAGTCACCCAGGCTCAAATAATATATAAAAGGAGACGAAGGGATTCCGTTTTGACCCCTTCTCTTTTACATCCACATGCAACCAGTGAACAAGTCCTGTTAATTCTACCTGGACGCGACTTTCATCCTTCTTTCCTTTCCCATTGATACCTGCTTGGTTTAGATTTTCATCCTCTCTGACTAAAGTATTAAACTTTCCTCCAGGTGGTTTTCAGTCCACTTTCATGTTTTGCACCATTGCCCATTTTGTCTATTGATATTCCATTGACCTTTATGGACTCCACAAGAGGGTGCTCTGTTATCCTCATTTTTGTCTCCCCATACTGAGCACAGTGCCAGGCACAGAGCAAATGCTCAGTAATTGTTGGGCAGAACTGACCATTTGTTACGATGTCACGTATTTATTTTAAAACTTCAGTGGAATCCATTTGCTAATCTAATTAAGGCCGGCTAAAGAGCTGGATGTTTTAACAGGCTAGTTACAACCTCCCCTTTCTACTGTTCCCATACTTTCCATGCCTCAGACAAAGAACTCGCTATTATACAAACATGCTTCCCTTGTCCTTGCCTCTGTGCCTTTGTGTATGTTTTTTCTGCCTGAAAGCTGCTTACATCTTAATAACCTTCTGTTCAACTCCATCTCTATTCCATACCAGAGCAACTGCTTCCTGTTTTGTGACAAGACCTTAATTAATTGCTCCAGTTTCTTGATCTGAAATACTATTCATGGAACTAATTATACTTTATAAAGTATAGATTGTGAACAAAGCAGTCTGATCTTCCCTACAGTAGATGCTTATGAAACAATCAATTCCAGAAGTAAAATTACCTTAAAATAATCCATTAATTCACCTCATCCAAGATGTATACAGATTGTTCAAAATAAGTGCTTATCTCTTACTCTAAAGAGTCTCCAGCATATAAAAAGTTCAAGAAACCATCTACATGCAGTATCGATTTTTGCATGTAAATAATATTCCAAGACATATCAAATCATAGTGTGGAATGTACAAACTTTTTAAATGAAGCCAAAACATGTTTGTTTCATTGTCCTTTCAGTGCAACATATCATGAATTTTATATTCAAAATAATATCAAATAAAGTCTTTAAAAACCTTGGAAAATAATTCGTGATTATTGTCACAGCAGTGAATTGATTTTCAAAGCTTACTTTTAAAATAAAAATTGATCTCTGTCAAGCATTCCTTGAGGACCCATCACGGATTAACTTCTTGCCTGGTTATAAAGACTTATTTTTATATACTGTATTAATGACCTGGCCTCAGATGTAACAGCAGTTGCGAGGACTGGGCAGTGTTTCATTCTATTGTCCATGGGTCATTCAGTGGAAATCAACTTAATAGCACCTAACAACAGCCACAACATATTAATGATCAGGCACTCCTTGGAAATGCTATACTGTGTAGCTATGCGTCAGAACCAACTCAACTATACTTAACAATAACAATATTAATGAAATTTTATGTTGGATGGGTCTCTAACCAGTGTGCTCTCTCTTCAAGGTACATCTATGTTGCTGATATATTGGCTCATGAAATTCATGTTTTGGAAAAACACACTAATATGAATTTAACTCAGTTGAAGGTAAAAATCAAATGTATGTGTAAAGCAGATCTTACGCTACTGTATTTTGAAATGATATATTTTATCATTGCCTCACTTAGAACAGAATGTGGTGTCCTGGTTTTGTTTTTGTTTTTTTTAAACATTATCTTCCAAACTAGAGAACTCTCCTGTTTTCACCCATAACCATAATTACATGCAGCGGTGGGTTAGGAGTGATATTTGCATCAGATTTAGGGCTCTTTCTATGATGTACTGATGGCAAGAGATGAATTCCAATAAGTATTTCCACAATAGAAAAGACTAATAGATGAATTCTCAGATGAAGACTTATGTATGTTGCCAGTTCTTTCAATAATAAATGAAGGTAAAAATTGAGTTCCACACCATTATTATGTTCTTCCTGCTTGACAACACATATGTTAGGCTGATTAATAATTTCCTATTCTGTTTTGATTGAATTCCTTGAGCTAAGTGATCATTGTGCATCTTTTATGGGAGAAGGAGTTCATTTTTTAAGAGAGATATTTAAATAGATTGATTATCGCCCTAACTTCCTTGATTTCAGGGAAGATGAAAAGTGGCTCCAGACCAGCTTATTAATTTTATTTTAAGCAATATCAGTGCCAGAAAGGTGGAAGGGATGTGTGTAATTTCCCCACATGCATGTAGAGGCAGCATAGGTTAGCCCTAAATTATTTAATCCAGTCTCCTTTGTCATTTAGATATTGACATTTTTTCATTTGGAAGGTTCTCAAGTTGGATACACTGGTGGATAATTTATCTATCGATCCGTCCTCGGGGGACATCTGGGTAGGCTGTCATCCTAATGGCCAGAAGCTCTTTGTGTATGATCCAAACAATCCTCCTTCGTCAGAGGTTTGTATATTTTTAATTTTTCAGCCTTAATTATCCAAGTCCTTTTGCACAGTAATACAATACATGGTCACAGCATGGATTAATTAGTTCTTTTGAACCAAGAGCACACGAAACTGTTTTGTAGTGGTTTTGTAATTGCTTTAAGCCAATAATTGGCAGATTTTAAGATTGTTCACATTCTTTAAGAAAGGTAAATCTTTTGATATGTTAAATTATGGTGGTAACAAGTCCAAAGGTATTTCTATAAACACATGCGCCCTTCTTGTGTGGTATACTGGCACTTTTTAAATACCTAGTGTATTGTAGGCTCACCACATGATGTGATTTTTGTTAATGATAAAGTAGCATGAAAGTACCTACATTATTGTGAAAGTATATTTTTTAATGCAGAATAACCATAATAACACTAAACTCTGTATTGTCATGGGATAAATAGATGGTTAGAGAAAGTACTTTTTTTGAAGATTTGAGAAAGTATTTCAATTCAAACATTAAAAAGATTGGTAACTACTGTTATCAGCAGCAAGTCGTCTTAATCATTGTGTCGATGTGGAAGACCAGGGGTTCTTGGTAAACGAGTATAGAGGGGTTCCTTAGTAATGCATTGTATCTCCTGAACAGGTTCTCCGCATCCAGAATATTCTGACTATGAAGCCTACGGTGACTACAGTTTATGCCAACAATGGATCTGTTCTTCAGGGAAGTTCTGTGGCCTCAGTATATGATAGGAAGTTACTCATAGGCACTTTATACCACAGAGCCTTGTATTGTGAACTCTAAAATGTATTTTGGTATGAAAGTGAGACAACTCCTAACAATTATCTATGAATTTTTAATTCTGATGGAATCTACCCACAGAGTTCACCGAGAAATGTGTGGCATGTATAGTTAATTTTATTTCAGTAGGAAAGAGCCCTTCGGTTGTTAGAACACTTTCAAAATAAAAAGAAAATGAACTGTTTTTTTAAAAAATGCCAAGAAAGAGAAAAGAAAGCTGCTTTCAGGTAAAGCAAATATACTTTGCACAAAATAAGCCTCAACTTTGCCTTCTTACTGCCAGAACGTGAATTCCACCCATAGCAGGTGAGATATATTTCCTTAAAATGCAAGTGACCTCAGTTCTAGCCATGTAACCACTGTGATTGTCCAGAACTACTGAGAGATAACATTCTCTGATGTTTTGTCCTTACTTTCTTGTTTACTGCTAAAGAGATGGAGCTATATTAAAGACTAACCAAAATTATACAAGCTATGTCAGTGTTTAATTTACAAGGTGTGTCCTCAAGAGGAATGAGAAGGCAGAAGTTTCTGAGTGATCCTGTTTCCTTGGAAGTGGCATGTAAATGAACTGAAATGAAAGCTGCATGTAAATGAGCTCTTTATTTAGAAAAAGAAAGAAAAAGAACTTAAACAAGAGATTGAGTAAATATAACTCTGATTCTCTATTTGTATTGAGGGCTTCACCAGCTAGCTCTCTTCTTCTTTAGCAGATATGTGGACTGGTGCTGGGAGCAATGAAGTCAGCTGTCCAGGCCACTTAGTTAGCCAACAGCAATACCACAGGGTAGAGTTCTTTCCACTCATTGTACCTCCCAGAAGACTATTTTAAACCTTGTAACTTCTCAAAGCACTGTACTTCTCAGACTTTTCCGCCCCCATCTTCATTATCATCAGAATATGTGTCAGTTATTTAGTGTGTCCAGTAATAGCCTATACCTGCATTATCTCATTCAGTCCTAATCTTAACCCTGAGGGAGTAGGTATAAGATTCATTGTCACAAAATCACCCAGTAAGGAGTGAATCTCAGTCTATGAAGCTACTACCATAGCACTAATGGTTTTAAAATATCATATTATAGAAGTATCCTTAAATTTAGCCTCTGTTAATTTGGCCTGTGTGTTTTTATATTTTTTAATTTGTTACTAATATATACTCTATATGTTGTTGTTGTTAAGTGCTATCGAGTCAATTCCGACCTATAGCAACCCTGTATAGGGTTTCCAAGGAGCAGATGGTGAGCTTGAACCACTGACTTACAGTTCAAACGACTTTGCAGTTTGGTGCATTAGCCCATAGTGCTACATAGTTATGCTAAAATGATTACTAAACTTTTTTGCTGCCCCCATTAAAAAGTGTTAAATCACAGATGACTCAAGCAAGATTAAATATTTTTATTCTAATGATCCAAAACCATGTAGTGTGTCTTGTAAAGTTTAGGAAATTCTAACATTGATTACTTAAAACTCTGTAGTCAAAAAAAGTTTCAGAACACAGTCGGTATAAAGTAAACTTTAAAAATTACTTATCATCCTCGGAAACCCTGTACAGGGTCACTATGAGTTGGAACTGACTCCACGGCACAGAACAACAACAACAATTATCCTTATTAGGGTTTTTATTTGGCAAAAGTAGATATCATAAGTTAATTAGTGCATACATTATTTAATTCAGATAGAAATTTTAAAATAAAATTGATTTGTGTCTGCTAATTGGAAGGTCCGCAGTTCAAACCCACCAGAGGTTCCTTGGGAGAAAAATGGGGTAGTCTGCGCCTGTATAGAACTTGTTGTTGTTGTCAGGTACCATAGAGTCGGAACCGACTCATAGCGACCCCATGCATAGCAGAACGAAACAATGCTCGATCCTGGGCCAACCTCACCACTGCTGCCACCCCCGAGTCCATCAATGATGCCACCTGGCCAATCCATCTCGTTGGGGGTCTTCCTCTTTTTCTCTATATAGAACTACAGCCTCAGAAACCATAGACAGAGTGGCAGTGATTTGGAATCAACTTAATGGCAGTGGGTTTGATTTTGATTTATATACCATGAAAGAGTCTATTTCTTCAAATCTTAAACTTTGTGCCTCTTATGTATGATGATCTTTCTCTGGTCATTTATGGAGTTTAACAATTTAGACATTAACAGGTGACATCATTCAAAAGAACTGAAACTGCTGTTGGCATATGCCACCTCCGGATGGAGAAACGTGCCATATTTGTGTGTGTGTGTGTGTGTGTGTGTGTGTGTGATCATCTTGTCAATCTGAGATCCTGTTTAAATAACAGTACATATTCTTTTGGGTTTTTACAAAACCTCCCTTCTTTGACAATGACTAAGAGGTAACCTAAATACCCTAATACAGGGAATAAAAGATATAATACAATTTTTTTTTTTTTCATTTTGTGTATGGATTAGTTATTAAAGAAGCTTGCCTAAGGCTGATCTTTTTTGTCGAATTGATTTGCTCACTTTGAACCCTGTCTTGAAGCCAAAGCCTACCTGGGCTGGTGATTGTCTGCTCCTCAAAGCAGTGAGGAATTACCAGCGCTACATGCTGCTCACTTCCACCTTTCCTTGGCTTCTTGTAGTTTTCATTACTCACTCAGCTTGAGAGAAGAAAGGTTGGAAAAATCTCAGTAGCTTCTCTCTTGACTTTCTCTGCCTTGGATTTTCAAAAACTATATTCCATAAAAAAGAAGGCACAGAGGGGAAAATAAAAAGAGTTTAGTCTATTTTTTTCTTCTTTTTTATAGCAAAGGGAATAACTTTTCAGTTTACTTTTAAAATTTCAATGTACTGCATGGCTTCAAAGTAGCCAACTTCAAGCTAAGCATAGGATGCAATAATGCTTATATTCTAGTTGGAAATGTAACAAATGAGGGAGGGGCGGGGAAAGGAGTGATCATTAGAGGAACCGAACAGAATTCTGAAGAACTTGAAGAAACAAAAATTTTTTTAAATTTAAATTAACAAAAAATTGAAAATGTAGTTCAGCAACTTCCTTCTACTTTTCATCAGTATTCAGCAATCATAAACTGTCATTTTGTCACATTTACCCTACCTTCCAAAGTATAGATACTTTTCTTTTTCCAAACATTTGAAAGCAAATTGGAGATACGTGGAACTTCAAACCTTCCTAAGAATACAGACGTTCTCCTACATTTTCACAATGCTATTTTAACAGGTAAGGAAGATGAGTGATAATTCCACAGTATCTAATATTTAATCCAGATTCAAAGTGCTCTAGTTGTCTCCAAATATCATTAATAGCTACTTTCTCTCTCCAGTTTCTAATCTAGGAACCAATCAAGGTTTAGAATTCACATTTGTTACATCTCTTTAGTCTTTTAATCTGAAACAGCCATTCTATCTTTTTGTGTGTGTGTTGTTTTTCATGGTAACACCTTTTCTAAATGACTTCCAGGCAAAGTCTTTTGGAATGCCCTACATTCTGGATGCATTTGATTCTACCTGGGATCCTTAACTTATCCAATATTATTTATATTCCATATAAATTAGAAGTTAGTTTGATTAGGTTCATGTTAGCCAAATTTGGCAAGAATACCCCATAAATAGTTATGTGTTTTATATTGCATAGTACCAAAATATAAGGACAAGTTGTTCCAATACTGCTGTTATCATTAGGTTCTGTGGAGTAGACTTTTAGCGCATAACATTCAAAGGTGACACAATACAGCTGTCCCATGGGGTTTTCTAGGAGCAAATTATCAGGTCTTTTCTCCCACAGAGCCACTGGGTGGGTTTGAACCTCCAACCTTTTAGTTAACAGCTAAGTGTTTGTGCCACCATGGCTCCTTGTCTGATATTGTTGTTGTTAAGTGCCATTCATGGAGTTAGTTCCAACTCATAGTCACCCTAAGTAGGGTTTCTGAGGACCAGCTGGGGGGTTTGAACTGCTGAGCTTGTGGTTCACGGTACAATGGTGATTAGCTATGCTAACACCAAACATAAAAAAATATCTTTTTATTTCCTGTTTCTACAGAGAAGATTTTAGCTGATCTAAGTGGTGGTTAATCATGTGAACACACCACTCAGCAGAGTCCCAGAGCAGCATGTATTTATTGCCAATCCACATATTTTGGACAAAGCTATTCAGTATGAATACTTATTTCTCATATCTCTTGTGCTGATGAGTGAACCATTCAAGTCCAGATTTAGATGGTGTCACTTGATAGGGTCACCTCCAGAATCTGAAATTCAGTTCTAAATACCCATGCTGGGGGTGTACATTACTGATTATGGTATTCAAATGATAACTAACCACCTCTAAGGTTTTAAGATATATCCCCTCACCACACATATCCCTCTGCCTAAAGTGGAGACTTTTAAACAAATTATAGACAGCACAACCTACTCACTCACTTGCCTACAGATAACGCCTCTTCCTTTCCCGCCTTCTTCAAGCTGTGCTGAAACGCAGCAATAACAGTGATGTGGAATATGAACCCAAAGCCCTTTGACCTAAGTCTAAACAGAGGCACTAGCACCTCCTCGTTAACCTCAAGCAAGTTATTCTTGACCTCTCTAAGCTTATTTGTAAAGTGAGGGTAATAACATTTTTATTATCTTCAACAGCACTTAACAACAACAACACTAATATTGTTGATTATTGTTTCATGTACTTATTATCCATTTAAATATCTTCTTTGGAGAAATGTCTGTGCAAGACCTTGTCCCAATTTTCCATTGAATTGCTTGTCTTTGTTGTTGAACATTCCATTTCTGTTTGTTTTCCCATTGCTTTCGTTTCCCAAGTTCATACCTTGCACACATCCATCTAATCAATATTTATTGAGCAACTATTAAGTGTAAGGAGTCCTGGTCTTGTGCTGAAGGATAAACACTGGACCACAAGGTTGGTTTGAACCTCAGGGTTGGTGGTTCTTACTTACTAACTGCTCCTGGGAAACCCTGTACAGGGCCGCTATGATTTGGTGAACGACTCGACGGCACTTAACAGCAGCAACAGCATTAAGTTCAAGGGGCTGTAACTGCCACTGGAAGGCTTGGTGGTCCAGGCCTCTCCCCAGAAGTTGCCCACAATCTCCCCATGGAATTTCAGACTGTTAAATTTATTGACCTTTTACAATGTAGCAGGCCTGATGCTGACCACTTGACATTCATCACATTTAATTTTAAGCACCTTGGAGGTGGATGTTGTTTTACGGAAGAGGAATCAGTAGCTGAAGAAAGTTGAGTATCTTTATAAAGCTGGATCTAAGCCCTGTACACACCCAAGGCTTATACACACACCTGCACCACATCCTAGGCTCCTCAACTCTGGGAGCTTTCTTCTCTTTGTCTTAACTCTTCCTTAGCCCTAGGGGACACAGTTTCAATTTTGTCCTCTGCTTGCACTTTTAAAAAATAGTTGTTAAGTGCTGTAGAGTCGGTTCTGATCCATAGCGACCCCGTATAGGGTTAAATTGTTAAGGGC